TTGCTTCTTTTCCAGTTTTTGTACTTTCTTCTTCACCTTTTGGGTAGTGGCGTCCACTTCTTTCACCTTCTCATTCGTTTGAGTCATCATTTTCAGGGTCTTGCTAATCTGATTTTGTTGAGTGGTGATACACTGGGTCATTGATGTCATCTGCTCTTTAAGATTATTCATTTGGTCCAGCAGGTGGCGCATGGAGTCTGCCAAAGTCTTTGCTGGCTCGTTGACTCCTTCCAGTTTTGGGCTCTCAGTTACTTTCGATTTCAGATGCTTCTCTTTCTCCATCCTCTTCCCCGCCATGTTTTTCTCTTTGTTTACTTTCGCAAACTTTTTGAAAGTCTCTGAATATGCTCCTTAACGCTCGCACTCGCCTTGGTAAGTACTCCTTAGCAGTTTTAACCTTTTATGCTTCCGCTCCCCCCCTCAATTGCTGTAAAGTCTATGCGTTTGGGAGGCATCCCTCCCCCGCTCGCCTTATCTTCTGTTCCGTGGGGTGGGGCTGGGGAGCTTCTTTTCTTTTTAATCAATGCTTAACTACTCACGTTCATAATCGGTCCACAGACCTCGTTTACACTCCATTTCACGCTCGATATCCTGCACTTGCCCCGGTCAGCGTCACTTAGTCCATTAGGTCTCTCAGCACAAAGAACCATCAGAGCGGAGAGATGCCTCAATTCTCCAGCATTACACTGTCGAAGAGGCAACCTCTCAAAAGCTTCATGGCCAGGGTTCCTTCAGCCGGGTCCCTGGGGGAGTAGTGAGCCTGCACCCCCCCTCCTTCGGCTGGAGCACAGCTTCACCCCCGGGAGGTCTGGGAGGTGAGTCTGCTAGCGAGCCGCCATCAACTGGAAGTCATGTTTTTATGTTCTTAACCCATCCGCAGGGTTTTCCAGCAAGGCTGTACAATGGATCCCTTTAAATGCTTCTGAGAAGAAGCAAGGGGTGCCATGCATCCCTCTCCCTCCTGAAAGATTTAAAGGGCCCTCCAGTTGATCGGTGGGCCAAGTGCACCCCGCTAATCAACTGAAGAGCCATTTAAATTTTGCAGGAGGGGAGGGAGAGGGGTGCGTCATTATAGAAAATAATGGCAGCCCCACCAGAAAAAAAACTGCCCCACAAGCCACAAAATCCTGGCTACGGGGCTGGGGCATGTCATGTGTACTAGGTGTATCTGGAAACCAGCACTCCTTGCCACAGCCACCTCCTATAAATCAGGCAGCAATACTCAATTAGAAAGCACCACCAAGCTGGAATCTGCCACTTCAGGGGGCAGCACAACTTTACCAAGAAGAGGGTGTACAGCTACTGCAGTCTCAACAGACCTGCCAACCATCTATATCTCTAAATTATACCTCAACTGAGCTTTAGTTTCCTGGCCCTCACCCAGCCTATTATCACCTTCAGACACCTGTTCAAGGACTCCACTGTCTTACCATGGTCCAAGTAGAAAGATAGCTAATAGCTGGGTTTCACTAGCATACTGATGATACTTAACCCTAAAACCTTGTGTGACCTCTCTCAGAAGCTTCATGTACTTATCAAGTAACATGGGAGACACAGTGGAACTTCACAGCACCCCAAAGGATAATTCTCACAAACCGGAGTAGTAATCCCTCTACTGACTACCACCTGGTAGGAGTGGAACCATTGCCAAGTGGACCCGCACATCTATAAACCTGATGACAGGTGCAGAAAGGTTCCACGTTTGATACCTACTGAAGGCTACTGAGCATTCAGAGAGACTCTTCCTTGTTCATTTCCCAATAAAAATCATCTGCTAGTGCAAGCCAGGCAGTTTGTATTCAGTATGTAATATAGACCCGAAGCCTGATTTCTACATTCAATATATTTCATGTTCCTGGAGTAGAATAACCACATCTAGCTTAGAATTCAGAAAGAAAAAAATATATAGCCTCAAGCTGAAATGGCTGTGATTTCAGATTATGAAAAGAATCTATTTTTAATGCAAGACTTACACCAGAGCTCATAATAATAATTGCAGCACTGAGACTGTCCACAGCAATGGCCCGTTTCACAGATATAACTCTGATTGTTGATTCCTATGCAGGTCTCTTTGTCCTATAATGTAAAAGAGAAATAGGTTAGCAACACAGTATTTTAGAAAGTGGGATGCCCTAGGAACTTTAAATATGCAATAAACCTCTAGGTCCTTGCAAGAGATGTATCAACGCAGAGTTTAAATACTTGCTTGTGGTCATAAATAGCCTATGCCCACTTGAAAAGTACTTCATCCTTATTTACAAGACTGGCCCAGAATTAGAAAAACTGAACACCTCCTTTAGCCTAGAATTCCCTGATGACATCACATGGCATGAAATCACTCTTAAGTCAGCCAAAAATACCACCTAACAACATCACCACTATAAAACATAGAGGATAGGTTTAGGATTTGTTCCTGACATACTCAGCATCTAAAAACGAATGCTTATTATGTATAATCACAATTATGTTCTCAGAATTTTCCCAAAAGTACTACTGTGAGGAATATAATTAATAGTTTGAGCTTGCTCACATAACAGACAACATGCATATGGCTCAAGAGAGAGATGTTTTTTCTTCAGTATCTTGAGATACCAAATTTTGTGATCCATTCACGATGTGTGTTTGGAATACATCTCACCTATTTCATTTTGTTGTGGGTTTTTGGCTCCGTGTATTAGTATTTATAGAATTAAAGAACATGATAATTAACGTAAGGCTAATTTAGATCATCAAAGTAATATTCGCTGCCACATAATCCTACTCCGTAGTGACTCTTGCCTAATTAGCAGTACATTTTAAAATAAAATAAGCTTTCCAATAAAGTGTCTTCCTGGAATATTCCTGTATTCCAGGACAGAAGCCAGATCAGCTCTGCTTTATCATCATGTAATCCTCTCTGAAGGCCAACACTTTGGACAGCTAAAAGATGGAAAACAACTATGGCATGAGGTCACCCAGTGGTAAATTACACCCTGCTACCCCCACCCAGGGTGGAATTCAGGGCTAAGACAACATGGCTGTTCTAGCAGTTTTTGGAGCCTTGTCTTACAGCCTTGAAAATAAACGCGCAGCTGGATTAAAGCACTGTAACAGGCCAAACAGACCTCTGATCTAAGTGAAAGTACAATCCAAGAAGACCAAGATAGTGGCAGTGCTACTTCTACACAACCATTCATGTATATGATGTTTTTTCCAACAAATAACAACAAAAGCTGCAATAAAGATGGGTCCCTATTCCAAACAGTCTACAATCTAAAGCATGGGTGGGAAGATACATGAGCAACAAGGGATTCATGTGAGCAAGTGGTGTTGCAGGTGCATAGATTGCAGTGGGGGTATGTAGGGGATAGAGAAGAGAGTAAATTTTGGAGAACTCAAACTTTACTACAGTCCCAGCCCAAGAGGACACCAACAGGATAACGATCCTTAGATACTCAAGTGTTCATTTCCTTAAAGATGTCCATAGGGAACTGGCTGCAGAGTTACAGGGCAGCACATATAACAACTGGTTTGGATGGACAGCAGTGAAATAAGGATGGTTTAACACTTTAAAAAGTTCAAAACATTAGTTTCTTCTTCTAAGAACAGATGCCAATGGTTCTCAGTGCAACAGCTAGTAATGATTTTGGACTTAGCAGTGATACAGCTATCTTGAATGTTGACGTACACAGCAAGTATAGCGGCTAGAGTGTCTGGTGGAGAATGGAAACACCCAGGTTCAAATTCCTGCTAAGATGTGAAACTTGCTAATGACTGGGGGCCTGTTGCACATGTAGACTAACCTACCTTATAGGGAAGTTGTTACGGCTAACACCAGCTAAACTTGCTTGAATGGAGGACAGAAAAACAAAATATATAATTTTTTTTAAACATAGATTATCTCAGCTATCCTTGAACACAATCCTTTCACCAGCATTATATTGCCAAACTGCAGCTGGATGATGAAGTTGAACAAATGCATCTTGTCTGAGTTTATCCAAGTGAGTTCATGGCCAAGGCAAAATTTGAACTGGTTCTCAGCCCCTGCACTATACTTCACTAAGGAGGAGAAGAACAGGTTTGCTTTTTGTTACTATTGAAACAACAAGTTTAAATATATGTGAGTGCTCAACAAGGCAGACAAAACTTCAGTGCATTATCATTAGCACTTTTAATTGTAAAAATCATTAGAAAGCCATGTGCCTTTTCCCTGTATTTTCATCTCAAACTGTGCATTTTTAAAAACACACTCAAAAACACATTTCCTCTGAACACAAAACACCAATAACACATCACATAAATTCAGCTATACTTTTTTTCTTAAAGGAGAAGCATTCTATTTTGAGATCCAGAGACACAGGCATCAGCATTAACATTCCTACCAACACCCACTACCCCAGTTGGAGTTAACACCCTCCACAAAAAGCCAGACATCTGGCTTCATTTTCAAAGAACCCACATCAAAAGCCCCAAGATGTTTCCCCTTTTAGAAACTATTGCCTGCATCCTCTTACACAGCAAAAGGGACACTCCTCCATTTCATCCGTAACAAGAAACCACGTGGACTTTAATAGAGGTTTGAGCAAACTCCATGGCTATGCAAAGCAGGGTAGCCAGATTTCAAGAAACAGAAGAAGGATTTCCTCTCTACTGGGAAAAACATTTTGTAGACACCCTGGCTGCCGATTGGGAAGGCAGTAAAAAAACTACTAAAATGTGATAACCACAATATTCCAACTGACAATAAAGGTGTACCTGGGCTACCTGCAGCCCATGAGCTACCAGCTATAACTGTAGGTCTTTTTATTATTAAAGGAAGTTAGGACAATGAACAAGGCAGTCTGTATTGTCCAGGTATATGACAAAGCACTTTTGAAACTAACCAGTAGAATCAGCTACTGATGGTGGGAAGGAGATGGGAGAGTTTGCAAAAAACATAATGTGTTTCCCTTCACCTTCCAAAGTACAACTCCATATAACTCCAAAGGGCCACTTTATTATGAAACTCAGGACTGCTACTGAATGTGCACTCAACAGGCAAGGCTCTTCTATCACTTGGCATGTTTTCCATGGAACTAGATGTTTTTGCTGGTGGCTAGTAGTTAAAAAAAACCCTTAAAATGTATTTTACAAAGTATTGAGCTGGTCTTTCACTACAGGTGTTCAAAAAGACATTCTACTAGAAAATTATAAATAGCTTTTGGTAAACTTCCGAGATTATGCTTTGTTCTTTAACAAACCATAGTGGCACTGCTATCTACACAGAGAAAACCAACAGTCACTTTAAATATATAGTCCATGTATCTGTTTATTGAGAAGTTACATTAATTTGATTGGAGGTTTCCGGTTTAAGCGTTTTGCCGCTCGGAAGCGTCCCATCTCGCTCTGATGGGGACGGGAGGGGTCCGAGTTTGTCCCGGACCTCCCCGGGGTCTCTGTATGAGACCCTCAGCCTGGGGAGCTGAGGAAAGCCTCTTCCAAGGCGACAGCCAAGGAATTGAGGCTCAACTTATCCCCAAAAGGTACCATCGCCGTGGAGCCAATATGTCGCTTAGAGACGACTGCCGAAGCAAGTGACCATGATCAAAACTTTAAAATGCTTCCAAAAGATCTCCAGGTCTCCAAACTGTGAGTTAAGCAATGCTCAGGTGAAAAAGTGAACGGACCTTGGTAGTAATTGGAAGCGCCTAGTTTGAAGCGTGGAGGGAGAGGGACCCAAGCACCTCCCCCCCTTTTTGAAAAAGATTTTAAAGTGGTTTTAAATCAGAAATAAAAAGACTTAGAGCTAAAATAAGCACATAAGAAGTTAAGCAAATGCAAAAACTGCCAATATATACAAAGCGAATTTAAATCATATAACTTTTGCCTTGTTTTGGAAAACTTACTTCTTGTTGATATTATGGCTGGGATGGAGGGTGCTGGAGAAAAAGCTGGTGACCGGAAATACATACCAACGACTCCCTCTCAGAACCAGGAAGTAACTACAGACTGTTCTTCACTGTTAGCAAATGGACTGCGCCCCCTAATTGAACAGATGACTAACCTCAATGCCAAACTGGACAGTGTTCAAAAACAACTGAATCAAATGGATAAAAGAACCTCAGTAACCGAGAAAACGTTGAAAAAAAATGGAAAAACAGACTGAGAGTATCAACAAGAGAGTAGATGAAGCAGAGAAAAAAAGATCCTCTAATAAAACACAACTAATACAGCTCCAGCTGGAAAGATCTACGTATGTTCTACATTTCCATGGGATCCCTGAAGAGAAGAACGAGGACTTAAAAGAACTTTTGGCGGAGGCTTTGGCTCCATTAATGGATTACAAACAGGAAGACCTAGTGAAAGAGATGGATGTAGCCTACAGGACTTACCCAGATTTTATAAAGAAAATAAACTCCCAGGGGAAACCTATTTAAAATTCACGAAACGATCTACCAGAGAACTAGTGTTAAAATCTACAATGGAAAAACCCTTAAAAATTAAGAATGAAGAGATAAAAATACTAAAAGACATTCCCATTGAAAGAAAATGGAGGAAACTATACAGGATGCTTACTCTCACTCTGCAAAAAAAGGGAGTACCATATAGATGGTTATTCCCGGAAGGACTGAGCTTCAACTATCTGGGTAAAAAATACAAAATTGACTCTGTTCCAAAAGCCGAAAAATTTATGGACCAAATGTTTAACTCAAAATATAAGAATAAAGAAAAGAACTCAAAATCAGATCAGGAGGAAGTAGAAGAATCCTACTCACAGGATTCAAAAAGCACTACTTCCACGTCACCAGAAACATTGGAATCGGAGAAAGGAGCAGCCGTTCCCAAACTCAAGAAAATGAAGAAATGCAGGAAGAAAAGACTCTAAAACAAGAACAACAGTTCTTAAAGGCAGAACTTGTGTTAAGCTATTAAATGCATATTCTTAAAGTAATACTGTAATGAACAAACCTGTATACCAAACTTGTAACATTAGATTAATAAGCCTTACTTTTAGCTAATTAGATTGTGACATGTATTAGCTTTCCTTTCCCCAAATCCAATGGATTAAATAGTTTAGAATAGTAGATTCCTTTCCCCATCAAGTAGTTTTTTATGTATTAGTTTGCCCTCTTCCCATTTCCCATAGCTATAGTGATAGGGTTTTAGTTTCCCTTCTCCTTCCAACTTTTAGTTGTAGTTTTTGTAGTTTATAGAAAATGCAAATAAAAAATCCCCTTTGGGGGGGCATAAAAAAAAGGGGGGGAAGAATTTACATGAATTAGTGCTATTCATTCTAGCAACACTTTCACAATATATGCTAACCAAATGCTGCAGCTAATGAATTTAGAACACTATATCCCAAGGGGTTTAAGTACCTTAAAGGCCAACATAAATGTTAAAAAATCCTCATCATTTAAATTATTATCCATGTTAGCAGCAGGGATCAGCATATATATGGTATTAAAAATATTTATGGCACTAAAGCATTTCCATAAACAGCTACTCTTCCAGTGCAATTCTAAACAGAGTTGCACCATTCTGGAGGTATAAGAACATAAGAGACGCCAATGTTGGATCAGGCCAAAGGCCCATCCAGTCCAACACTCTGTGTCACACAGTGGCCAAAAATGCCAGGTGCCATCAGGAGGTCCACCAGTGGGGCCAGGACATTAGAAGCCCCCCCCCTGTTGAACCCCCCCCCAGCCAAGCATTACACTACATCACATTGGTTTTGGGCTATAAGAAAGAGCACCAACCTGACCATAGCCTTTCAGCAACTTTTCAGTCAGTGTAGCACAGGCAGCTGAAAATTTCTGCTCATACCACTGCTGATTATACCTCTCTTTGGTTTCACCTTTGCTATCTTGAAAGATAACATAGTACAAACTTGTGCAGAATTATTACTTCCCTTTCCTAGTTCTTTGCCTTTGCTCTCAATGACATGTGAGGGAATCTGGACAAATATTTTTCTGTGGCTTCAGAAAGTTCATTATATTATAATTTGGGAACCATGCTTCAGAGTAGTCCTTGACCTATATACCTCGGAAATCAATACTCAGCTCATGTTCAACATGCTACATTAGGCACATGTGTGAGACAAAGGAGGCAGCTATTTCTTTTATGTATTAACATGATAATAGAAAAACAAATATCACAAGTAGGGAGCAGAAGGAGCAGCGTAAGCAGATTTAGCCACCACTGAAAGGAATCAAGCTTTGCTTTTGAATATTTCTCATAAGATTTTCTGGTTCAGTCAGATTTTTTTTTTAAATAAAGTGTTCAGAACCAGCTTGAGACACTTCCTACCAATGCAAACCTCATTCTTTGTGCAATACTTTAATTCAACGTAACAAGTATCAATATTTCATTGATATTTTATGAATTCATATGTGCAGTATGGCTTTGTCACTGAAGTGCCTAAGGCATTAGTTTCATTGCAACACCATTAAATAGTTCTCTAGTTTGTTCTGAAGTACATTATGTCCTCATCCAAGGGGGAAAAGTTAGAAAACAATTTTACAGCAGGTGTTTTGAGTTAGACTTCCAAAGGTAGCATCTGGTGAAACTGCTTCCCATGCTTTAGATTAGTAAGCCCAGACACATTGGAATAAGATCGAATTATTCATAATTCTAAAATAACAAAAGTAATTATCTAAAACTGGAAAATCCAGACATTTTAATACTGTAGCGCTAAACCAGCACATGTAAATACACAGTGTGTACTACTTACAATGGTTACACAGTATAAAGTTGTGCATATTGGACAAAACCTAGTAACCATCAGCTCTAGCAGACAAGTTTTGTGCCGTTTGGTTCTCAAGTCAGAAAAAAAAATGATATTGTACAAACCTGGTTTGTATAAATACAAAATGCACTATGTTTCTGTTCTGAAAGATCTTCTAGGAAATTTTCAAATTTTATTGTAAGGAACAAAAAAAATAAGCTAAACACTTAAGCACAAAGTGTGCAATTATAAACTAGAGGGGCAATGAAAGCTGGAGCAAGGAGGGAAGAACTGGGGCCAGAACTGCCACTTCACCAATTTAAGCTGGCCTGACATGCCACCTGGCTGCTTTACCCTGGGTTCAAGTTCAGTATCAGGCAATGGCTATTTTACAAGTTTGTATACATTTAATATATGAAAATGGCAAAATCTGCTTTTTTCCTGCTGGGAAAGATGGCAAATATACTTGGGGCTGTGGGAAGAGGGGGCTTGGCCCTATTAACAACAGCCAGAAGCAGACACTGCACAGTGAGGATGAGAAGGCAAGTGATGAAAACTACCCACAGGAATATCAAGCAAGCTAGTTTAAGACATCAGATTATCACCCCTGGGACTTCTCTCTTCTGTAACAAGAGTTTGAGAGAAGCTAAAACAAGAACAGTCAAGAAGGTGCCCAGCAAGTTTCCTTTAAGGGAGATGCGCACAAATTTAAAGTATTTCCCAAGTCACACAGCTCCCTCTTGCTGACCTAACTTCTACAAGGTCAGATGGCTCAGAAAAGTTATGCCACCTTTGAGCATTTCTCAGGAGCCTCAACATTTTATGTCTCAAAACTGGAATTGTTCTGCTATTAACCCACCTCGCCACAGTCATTCATACCCTCCATTAATACTGTAAAATACAGCAGTCTTAACTTTAATTAGGACTACACAAACAACCTTTATCTAAAGTTTATTCTGTCTACCACAAATATAATGGTAGCTATAGTTGTCAACTACAAAGGTCACAGTACTAGAGGAAGTTCTCTTACATAAAGATATTTTAGATTTAAGACAAAATAAGATTGGAAATCTGATTAACTACAGATTAAGGCTTCTTCATTTTTCATAAACAGTATTTTATTAGAATTAATTTTCACTGGAAGCATTAAATGACAAAAAACACTGAACAACCCCCCCCCCCCAATGATTTTTTGGGAGTCTCTTAAAGTTTAACATTAATACACCCAAATAACTGCGAAACTTCACTGGCCATTTCCTGCATAATGGCAGATTAGATGGTAGATGCAAGTAATGATACCATGGCTCCTGCACTAGGCTATAGCTTCTGTGTAACAAACTGGCTGTACCTTCTGCCAGCCAGGGAGCAGTCAGGTCAGTTGCTACTGTTTCACATTCCAGGCTATATTAGCAGCTGAAAGTTACGAGTATTTTCATACAAAATGCAAGATTACTTAAAAGTACAAACATTCTTAACTCAGTGAATTCCTGAATAGAAGATGGTTGGGGTTTGTTCTGTAGGGTTGCTTTCTTTTTGTGCTTTAAAAGCAGAACTCTGTCTGAAGCCATCCAAACAACAACACACAGCCTTCTCCAAAATGAGCTAATTAAAAGCTGTAAAAACATACATTTCCACTTTGGAACCTCAGAAGCAAGAGGTACAAAAGAATAGAGGGAATGTAGGGGGAAGCCCCTCTTTCATAGGGACTCTTATTCCACAACAGTTTTGTGCCCTCATTTGGAGCTCTGCTCCATATTAAGAAAAAAAAGTACTTTTCTTCTAGAACACATAACAGGGAAGACCGCTGGGTTGATTTCATTTGAGTGGCTTCTCTTGACAAGGCGAGAGATGATTTTAAAAACCCAGCAAAACCAATTAGAAAAAACACAAACCGAAAACAAGTTACCTGCCGCAGGCCCAAAAGGAAAGGCATTCTGCATTCTCATAATCCACACTAAGGCTTTAAACAAAGGAATTTCTAAAATCCCGCAATCATCATTTCCTCATCTGATATGGGCAGGCAGCATCCGCAATCCTATTTAAACCATTTAAACCAGGGCTTCCTTGGCTGGGAATGTTAAGTAAACAGGGTCCCAGAACACAGTATGCACTCACTCTGCCTTGTCTGTGTCTCTCTCTCTCTCCCCTCCCCGTGACCAATCTCAGAAGCAACAGAAATGCTGTAGTGTTTGCCAAGGGGGAAGTGACATCAGTAGCAGCACGGCAAGGGGAAAAAAAGCCTCAGACAGCTGCTGATTAACAACAAAGACAGGCCTGCTGCCTATAAGAAAATGCATAGCTGTTGGCATAACAGAGAGCATTTAAATGGAAAGCCGGAATAAATGGCTAGCTTCTCTGGCTATTAGAGGATCGCTCCAGAAGGAATAAGCAGCCAACTTGCACTTACATTTAGTTATTCCAGAAAGGGGAGGGGGGGCAATGCTTAGTTCTCACTTCCAAAAGCATTTTTGAAGCCAGATTATTGAAACGAGAAACTGCATCATTTGGTGTCACAATGGCTTATTACTGGCTGGTTAATTCTTGAACATGCTCACTTACAGATCGAAACGTTGGAACCTACCTGAAGGTTTCTTCTCTTCAGTGGGGCAAAGTCATTCAGAATGGTTAGGTCATGCCTCCTCCAACTCTAGGCAGGGCTATTCAAATTTTACTGCAAGTCTTACTGGCTGGATCTAGCCCAGGGGTGGCCAAATTTGCTTAACGTAAGAGCCACATAGAATAAACGTCAGATGTCTGAGAGCCAAAAGACATCAACGCACATGTTTTTATTGAAAAATATGCACATTTGCACATTAAATGAAGGAGACAAATGCCTTCTCCGAGCCAGCCAGTCTGCCGGTGTGGCAGGGCTTGGAGAACATATTTAACTTTAGATGTGGAAGGAGGGGAGAAAGACAAAGAATAGTGGAAAGAAAACAACTTTAAATGTGTCCTCCAAGCCCCCAATGCCCCCATGCCAGCTGGCTTGGAGAAGGGATCTAAAGAGGCAAATGCCTACTCCAAGCTTAGCCCAGGGCTTTGAGAACACATTTAAAGTTAAAGTTGCTTTCTTTCTCTGCTTCCCCCCACCTTAAGCCTACCCGGGGAGGGGAACACTGGCTGGGGAAGGGAAGACCGATCAGGGAGGCATGCCTCCCCTTCACTTCCCCAGCCGCCCTGCCAGGAGCTGCACAATATGTGTGAAAGAGCCACATGTGGCTCCCGAGCCACAGTTTGACCACCCCTGATCTAGCCTGACCCCTCCAGTTCTCAAATAGCCCAGTTCCAAAACTATTTGATTTTTTAATTATTACTATTGAGGGGGGGAAGTGAATGACTTTACTCCACTGAAGAGAAGAAACCTTCAGGTAGGTTCCAATGTTTCATTTTCCTTCAGTCATTCAGAATAGCTATGTACCAAACCCACCTTCCAGGGTGGCAAATGTCCTGCTCCTCTGTGTCTCCACAACCTACTGCAACATGCTTTGGCCAAAGGCTGCATCTGCAGAACTCATCTGTTCTATACAATAGTGCTTCAGGAACGTGGAGAGAATAGACCATGTGACAGCTCTACAAGACTCCTCCACTGGAACCCTCAGAGAGGGCAGCTGAAGATGCTGCTACCCTTATGGAGTGTGCCATGATGTTTCTCAGAGGTGGCAACCCCTGCACCTCATATGCCTTGCATATACACAATCTGACCCCTGAGCAATCATGTATGGACACCTTCCTGCCCAGTGATATGCTATTGTGAGATACAAACACTGCATCAGATAAACAAAAGTCCTTTGTTCTGATCAAGTACACGCGCAGCGCTCCGCGCACATCCCACTTGTGCCAAGTCTTCTCCTTAGAATGCAGAATGAAGGCAACACCCGCTGTTGACTGACAAAAAAAGACTATGTTAACCTTCAGAACAAATGAAGGATCGGTCCTCAAAATTACCAAGTCTTTCTGGAAATTACATCGTTCTCTCCCCATAAACAGGGCTGCTAGCTCTGATACTCTCCAAGGTGACGTCACCGCCATAAAAAAGGCGACCTTCCATGATAGTAGCCTTAACTTCAGGGGCTCAAATGGTGCTTTAGTAAGCGCTTGCAACACTTTTGAGAGATTCCATGCCTGGAACCTGTGCCTCACTGGTGGAGCTAGCTGGGTCGCACCTAGGATAAAAGTCTCACATGTATGTTGGATGACAATTTTTGTAACCTCTTGTGCTCCAAGACTGCAGCAAGAGCCGAGACCTGCCTCTTCAAGGTGTTGGGTCTGAGCTCTTTCTTCCAACCATCATGAAGGAAAAGAACCACATCTTTATATGAAGGTTTTAGCGGATCCAAATCTTTGGAACGTGCCCAACTTGCAAATGTCTTCCAGGTGTGCCCATAGATACATCTAGTGGATGGTCTTCTAGCTTGCACCACAGCATCAATCACTTCAGATGGAAATCCAACTCTCATTAGATCTGCTCTGTCAATCTCCATGCTATCAGCTGTAGCCAAAGAGGATCAGGATGGCAGACCAGTTCCTATATTAACAGACCCTGAACTACAAGGAGTCTCCATGGGGGACATACCGACAACTCCACCAGTTCTGAGAACCAGGGTCTCCTGGACCAGAACGGGGCTATGAAAATCACCTCTGCCTTTTCCCTTCTTATCTTGTTGATGACACTGCTTATCAAGATGGTTGGTGGGAATGCGGAGAGTAGACCCTTCAGCCAAGAATAATTCAGGGCATCTTTGCCCTCCACCCTGGAATCATAGTACCTCAAGAGAAACCTGGGGATCTGGTTGTTGTCCTGAGACACTAATAGGTCTATGACTGGAGTCCTGAAACACGCCATCACCTGGTGAAACAACTCAACAGACTCCACTCTCCAGGATCTAGGTGCCTCCTGCTCATCCTATCGGCCTTGAGGTTTACTACTCCCTTCAGATGTTCAGCCTTGATCTCTGTCAGATGACTTCCTGCCCAGCAAAACAGGAACTCAGACTCTTTGAACAGGGACTGAGATCTTGTGCCACCTTGCCGACTTACATGTGCCTTGGCTGTGATGTTGACAGTCCAAACCAGCACTCTCTTTCCTACTAGAGGGTGACGAAGGACCATAAGTGCTAACCTGATGGTTCAGAGGCGGACTCCAACCAGTTGATGCTTTGAGGTAGCTCCTCCTGATTCCACTTGCCTTGAGCCATCTGCCCCAAGCAATGTGCCCCCAAACCTCTTGTGCTGGTATCTGTTGTCAGAACTAGGTGGGGACTCTGAAGAAAGTTCACACCTGTTTTCAGAATTGCAGAGACTGTCCACCACCTCAGAGAGCTTTAAAGATCTGTCTGTTTTACTTGCCTGTGCCTCTTCCTCCTTATGTCCTTCTGAAAGGGAAGAAGGAGCCACTGCAAGGGCCAGGCATGGACTTGAGCCCAAGGCACCAGGTCTCACAGAAATCAACAGCCCCAGTACTGTTGCCAATTGCATGAGATCCACTGACTTCATCTTGTGGATCTTTTGTACTGCTAGTACAATATTCTCCTATTTCTGTCAAGGGATAAATACCTTGGCCATCCCAGTGTTTATTTTGCCCCCGCAGAGGTATCAAAATCCTTGTGAGGGTGAGATGACTCTTTTGGTGGTTGATGAGGAATCCGTGAGCCTGAAGCACCTGCACTGCCTTCTTTTTCTCTCGTCTCCTCCAAAACTTTTTCCAAAGCACCGTCCCCAAACAGTAATCTGCTCGAAAACCTCTCAGCCAAGAGGTCTGATTTTGACAGTGTGCCCACTTTCAGCAAAAAGGTTTGATTTTGACAGTGTGTCTGCTTTCCAATGATTTAGCCAAAGACTGTGACGTACCACAATGTTCACACCTTGCTCCCTAGCACAAAACTGCACTGTATCTTGGGAAGCATCGGAAGCAAACGCCACAGCCCTCTTGATTTTTAACAAGGACCGTGTGAGCGTAATTGGATCTATCCCATGTTCTCACCCACATGAAAGGTGGTCCCAGTACCTGGGGTGCTGCACCAACTCACCTCATTGCCATGATTGGGGGGGGGGGTCCTCACCACCCAATGAGTCCTGTGGAGTTCCTTGCTGCCTGGAAACTTCCCAGCACCTTGGGAAGGAGCCTTCCCTCAGCTTCTCCACCAGACCAGCTGGAACAGGCTGGCGACCATCAGGAGGCTGCAGCTGTGTCGCTGGTTTGATCAGAGATGGGCCCGAAGCTTCGGAACCCTCTGCTCCCAGGCAAGCTTGTACCACAATCAGGAGGTCCGCCTCCAGCCCACCCCCGTTGCCCAAAGCTTCAGGAGGAGGAGGCCTCTCCCGCACCGACTTTTTCCTTTTCTTTGTTCCCAAGGAAGCCACTTTTCCTGTACTCTTCTGTTTTTGCCAAAGTCTAAAGGCCCACTTAACTGCAAATCCGCAGAGCTAGGCACTGCCTCTGCCGGAGCTGCAGGGCTCTTAGGACTGTAGGGGTCAGCCTAGATCCAGCAAGTAAGATTTGCAGTAAAATTTGCTCAGCCCAGCCTGGAGCTGGAGGACGCATGACCTAACCATTCTGAATGACTTCCCCCATTGAAGGAGAAGGTCACATGTTACATACAAGAGACCAGTTTCACACGACCTTTTCCAAAACTGGCTTTACATTTGTTCTGGCAACAGGTCACGTGAATAGGTACACAATGCATCCAGGCTCCAGAATGTGCCCCCTAAAAGCAATGTTAATTCAAACTGGGTTGACAAAACGTCCTCAACGTTTGAAAGACAAGGTCTGTTAGGTCCTTAAGCAGTTGGCTGTAGCAAAAAGGAAAGAAAAGAAAGAAATTGACAAAACCCAATAATTCACCCTACTATCATCCATTACACTAAATATTCACAATGCACAACAGCTCTAAAGAGCAGAGCTAGTAATACGCTCAGATCATGGATCATTTACAACACAGTGTGTTTCACATACCATCTTACTTAGAGCACAAGTACACCCCAGAGAAAGCAGGGAGGGGAAGAGAATTTGTAAGGCGAACCAAAAACAGAGTTCTTGCTTCATTTTATTTACAGTATTTTAGCCTACATCTCAAAAACACTCGAAATACTCATCTTGATGAC